TCATGACTTTTAACATTTGCAGATGTCGTAAAGTCCCAACCGCAGGTGGAGGAGTTCAAGTATCTTGGGGTTTTGTTCACGGTTAAGGGAAGAATGGAATGTGACATTGACAGGCGTATTGGTGCAGCGGAAGCAGTAATGTGGTCGATGTATCAGTTTGTTGTGGTAAAGAAGAAGCTGAGCTAAAAGGCAATGCTCTGATTTACAGGTCAATCTACGTTCCTACTCTCACCTATGGTCATGAGCTTTGTGTCATGTTCTTCTAATTTTCTTCGCAGGCTGGCAGGGCACATCCTTATAGATAGGGTGAGGAGCTCTTTCACTCAGAGTAGAGACACTGCTTCTCCACATCAAGAGAAGTTAGCTGAGGTTGCTCAAGCATCTGTTTCAGATGCTGCCTGGACACCAACCTAGGGAGGTGTTCCAAGCGTTTCCCACAGAGAGGAGGTCTCGGGGAAGACCCAGGAGGGTGGGACTATGTCTCTCAGCTGGCCTGGGAATGCCTCAGGATCCCCCCGGAGGAGCTGGAGAAAGTGTGTGAGAGGTAGAGGGAAATCTGGGGTTCTGTCCTAAGACTGCTGCCCCATGACCCGGCCCCGGAAAAGCAGACAAAAATGAGATGAGAATGGAAGTTTCACACTAAGCAAAAAACTCATTTCAAAAACATTAATCTGCACAAGTAGGTGATCTTTTAGCAGCACATGTATCTGTCAAAGCATTGAGTGTGCACAAATGTGAGCCCAAGTGATAAGCTGCTGGCAGCAGTTACCAGTGCCACTAATAATTAGGCTTTACAAACATTTTTACAGCCCTGTTTTTTTGTCATGTTTTACATACAGCAGCTTCATAGAATCAATGGTGCTTCCTATGCCTAAATTGCTCCTGTCCCAATTTGTTTTGGAATGATTTGCAGGTCTAAAGGACAAAAAAGGATGTATATTTACAAATTAAATTAAGTTGACAGAGCATGATTTTTTTGTTTTGTTTTTTTTCCGGTTGTATTTTCCATACTGTCCCAACTTTTTCTGATTTAGGGTTGTAGAAATAATGTGCAACTAGTTGGGAGGGTGAGGAGCCTGATCAACTCCCTCTACTCTCTTACCTAGTTGGCTGACCTTTTGCATCACCCGAATATTTTCACTATACAGGTGAGAACGTCTTGCAAAACCACTGGAAGTTCAGCCGTAGGACAAGGGCATAGCCCATCAGTCTCAGACATATACGTTGTTTTTCAAACGTGACTGCAATGGGAAATGGGCCTTTAGCAGAAGATAAAGGTATGTTTAATTTATGTGCCGGTATGCAAGTATGTTTTATATGTAAATAAGATGTATACAACATCCTGGCCAATTTTGTCCAATTAAATGATGCAAAAACAAAACCAATAGAGTGACTAATCAAGTCTGCATCAATAACGGGTTAAAAGTCACATGCCATTCTATCATTGTAGCATTATATTCTAAACCTACTATCATACAAACAAATATATGTCCAACAATAAATATTTTAGCAAAAAGTATATGAAGGCTCAAGCACCTCTGACAGCAAATATTTTCATGACTTTTAACATTTACAGATGTAAAATGCAAGTTTCACACCAAGGAAAAAAAATAATCTCATAAACATTAATCTGAACAAGTAGGCGATCTTTCAGCATTAAATATGTCTGTCAAAGCATTAAGCGTGCAAAAATGTGAGCACAAGTGATAAGCTGCTGGCAGCATTTACCAGTGCCACTGATAACCAGGCTTTCCAAAATTTTCACAGCCTTGTTTTTTGTCATTTTCTACATACAGCTGCATCATAGAATCAATAGTGTTTGCTATCCCTACATTGCTCCTGTCCCAATTTGTTTTGGAGTGTGTTGCATGTATGAATCACAGAAAAGGATGCATATTTACAAATGAAATGAAGTTGACAGAGAATTAAAAATTTTGTGTTTATATTGTCTGCAATGTAAATTTAAAACCACTACTTTCTTTTTTTTTAATTTGCGTTTTCCATACTGTCCCAACTTTTTCTGATTTGGGGTTGTAGAAATAATGTGCAACTAGTTGGAAGGGTGAGGAGCCTGATTAACTACTTCTATTCTCTTACCTAGTTGGCTGACCTTGTGCCAGCAATCAACTTTTCACTATACAGGTGAGGATGTCTTGCAAAGCTGAAGTTCAGCCGTGGGACAAGGGCATTGCTAAGCATTCTCAGACATATACGTTGTTTTTTCAATTTTTACTGCAGTAGGCAATGGGTCTTTAAAGAGGTAGATAATGGCACATCTTAAAGATCAGATCTGTTTGCTTGACGTAATTAACTTCTAATCTGTCTTCTATTTAAGCACATATTTTTTTTCTTGTTTTAAGCCTTTTATGCATTTTTTTGAATATCATGGTTTTCACTTTAATTGAAATCAGCGGTAATTACCAGCCATAAACTTTTGTACCGCTGGATTGGTATGCTGCACTGACCATTTATTTGTACCTTCTCTTGTTGATTAGCACCACACTTATCTCACTTAAGCGTTAAAACAGAAACTGAGAAAATTTTTGGTATGATGAAACATTTCAGAAACAAATAACTTGGGCATACTAAAACAACAGATTAATTGTAAAACATCATTTACCCAATGAAGACTTTAAAGAGTTATTTTATATTTGATTATTACATTTTTGTGTCTTAATACTGTTACACTACCGAGAAATCTATAAAGCAAACCTTGTTTGATTTGCTCTTTAATTGATTTAATTTGATTTGTTCAAATAATTTAAAAAAAATAAGACAATTTTGAAATTTTTATGTTCATATAAAATGCTTAAGAAAATATAATAAAGGAATAAAAAGTTTAAAGGGGATTGTTTTCAGAAACATTTTTGTTGTGCTGGTTGAAAATCTCTGCACATTCCAATAGTAATGATTAAAGTAAATTATATAAATGTATTTATATGTATTTTTATATACTGGGTAAGGCATAAGTCTAAAAAATGTTCATCCAATTAAAAAATTGTCAGGCAGACAATTCCCATAATTCTGATAGCCCAAACTGTCTGTCAACAAATGTAGATTTGTACATCTGGGAAGCCATTCACACAGATCCATCATTTTTTTTCCGCGTTTACCTGCACACAAGAGAGAGAGAGAGAGAGAGAGAGAGAGAGAGAGAGCAGTAAAAACAAATGCTAATTGCTAAATCAAAACTTTTGAAAATCCTGAATCAATATTTGAGTTACTTTAGCACGCTGGATGAAGGATGACACCATGGCTGAAGTATTTTTAGACAGGTAATGTTATATTTTAAAACAATTTTAGTCATGCAAAACTTATGTAGATTTTGTTGTTTTATGTTTGGGTTATATGCACAAAAGTGTTGTTCAGCCACTGAAATCTTCCAGCGAAAGAATAATGTGGCTATTTTCAGTTTTATAAGGTACCATTCTACAGAATCGATAATGTTGATTTTTATTAAGTTTAACAACAAAATATAAGTAAATAGCGCTATTCTGCCTAGCCTGCTTTACTGAGGAAGTTGATTTTACATTCACAGTGGTTTTTTTTTTTTAACAATGACAGCCTGCGATGCGCTCTCTATATGGTTTACTATGCTACTTCGAATATTCGGTCTGAAATAACAAGTATGTCTTGGTAATAAGTGTAATTCCTGCACGCCGCTGGCCAACGACAACCGTAGTGGCTTTAGGGCAAAGTGCATGAGTGAGACCTTGCATGCATGAATATTGCACATTATGACAAGTTTTGCTTGCTACACAACTGAAAACATGTTAGATTTAATACAGTTTTTTATTCAGAATTGTAGTATTATAAAGTATAACAGGCGAATGACATGATCTAGTTGGTTGTCTACTGTCATCTTTAGTGTGCGTGTTCATGATTTCAGGAGGCGTGGCTTTATATGGCAGGGGAGGTATTGCGTTTTAAAGATATTATGCTAGCCTGTAGCATTTAGGCAGATCACTTATCACACCTTTAAATTGACCTTGTTCTGTTTTACGTCATGACTCAAAAGCCGCAACCAATTATGCAGCTAGTAATTATGTCAACACATCCTAATATTTGAGCCCTTTTAAAGAATTGATTTCTTGTTTACATTAAGCTTGCATTACCAAGCAACATGCAATTTTATTAACATTCATTCCAGAGAGCTCGGTTATCAGCAGGACTGTGGTAAATGAAACTGCACAGAATGCAAACATTTAAGCAAAGAGTGAGCATTTAGCTAATCTCTAGTCTTAAATCAGTTTGAACAGTCGGTCGGGAGAAAGATTTTCTTAGCATATAGGGGGTAAACAGAGCTAACAAATAGTGGGAGTGATTGGGTGCGAAGTAACGCCCAGGGGGAGCAGGACTGAAGTAACAGACCTGCGCAGACCTCTATAGGCTGCATGTACGGATCCAAATGGGATGCTTCTGGGTCTCGACCACCTGTTAGTGATCACTGATCTTTGAGTAGTTTTCAAGAAAATCTGCATTTGTCATACTTTGTGTTTGAATTTACATTGAGTGTCTGTTGAAACACTGATGGCAATGTGCTGTGTTTTTGGTTTCACCTGCCCTGGATTGTGGAACTGTACACAGCTCATGATGCTGATGTTACTGGCATGCTCAGTTAAAAAAGCTGCCCTGTACATGTTAGCTGAACACACATCTGACCATCATCATATATGCAATCATTAAGCTGTCTTATAGTTCTTAGATACATGATTCAGAAGACATAACATGACTAAATATGCTTTGCAACGGCTGATTCCAAAATGACTACATTTGGTCCCCCAAGACCGTACGGCTCCATCTTTGACATGAACTATAGAATCAATCCAGCAGAGGGAGAATCTAACACAAGCCTGTCCATGCCTCACCATAACGATTGTTCAGTAATAGATGCACATGAATGAAAACATCGCAGAATGACGTTTTTATGGCTTCTGAACACCAGCCAGCCATACCCAGCATATCTCACCACCTCCTGGGATGCGCAGCATATTTCTCACCTCTTCAACGCGCCGAAAACGTTCGCGCACATGTTTAAGGGGCTCCTTTTCCATCAGCCACGCGAGTAAAATGTTTTGCACGGCACAACACTCCAGTAATTTCTGGATCGCAGAGTTGCAGTGATACTGGCAAAGGCAAACAGGCATTCAGATCAGTTGAAGCATTACATCGGCGTGGACCGCATTCCTGCCCCTCCCCTTCCCTTCCCTTCCCTTCCTCGATCAGCGCCAGTGGTCTAGTGACTCTTTTGAATCAGTTCAGTAAAAGATTCATTCAGTAACAGTCTGTGCAGTTGCGTTGTTACGCCGGTGTTCCGGAGAATTCAGTTCCCCTGTTCCCCCATTCACAGCGCATGCGCAACTTTACGGCTGATTCCATGTACACAAATCATGACGTCAAAAATTCGCTTCGCAGTTCATGGTTGTTTTGATGTATTTTCGTAAGCCCGGTGTTTATTTCATCACAGAGTTTATAAAATGTTGTAATTATTTGCATGGACACCCGTGTCTATTGTATTGTTCCTGTTTTTAGCACGCGCTTGTTTCTTTCAAACAGTTGCCTTGTCGAAAAAAATAAACCATACTACACTGCACAAATTATAGTGTGTTTTATTTCAGATAAATCACAGTGATACTTGTGTTGTTTTAAAATACATATTTACGTAACTTGTCATGTATCTTCAGAAAGTGACTTTACATTAAAAAAACAGGAGTACGGATTTTCCCGAAGCAGAGGAAAGTGTTACCTTCTGAGGATTGGAAAACACAATATACAATGCCTTTTTAACATCAGATTTAAATCTAACAATTTTGTTACACCTTAAAAAAAAAATAAGTAGGCCTAAATTAAAAGGATGATACATTAAATGAGTTTACTATTTGAACAACCCTATGCTTATCACACACACACACACACACACATATATATATATATATATATATATATATATATATATATATATATATAAACTAGCAAAAAAAAGCTAAAATCTTTTCAAACGAACCAACCAAAAATACGTGCACGTTTTCAAGTGTTTAAAGCAAGCTAAGCAATAATATTCTTCATTATAGGCTGTACAATATATCTTATCAGCATTAATATTGCCATGTGCCCATCTGCAGTAGTCACATCTGCAATGTTGAACAGCACAGGAGTTCAGAGTACATGTGATTTGTGGAGTAGCTGCAGATGCAGAACCAAAATTAAATAAAAAAAAATATCATTTGCATGTGATTTCAAAGAGTTTAATACATTCAGGCACAAGAAATTATAACTTTTAAATCTTAAACAAATATTAATTGTACTTGTTTTTTTATATAAAGAAGACGTGTTAATTTACATTTGATTATTCGATTTCTGTACTGAATGCTCCAAAAAAAAAACAAAAAAATAAAAATAAAAAACAAACAAACATAAAACACTGTTTATCTCAGCAGTTTTGTCGTTGCCCTGTTTATCTATGCTTGTAAATTGTTTTATGCATGATTCAATCAGTCCCCTACAAAATCATGCCAATCAATGTAAAATAATGAATTATTTTCTAACAGAGCTATTTAACCAATCTGGTGTAATAGTTTTTATATCACAATATATATAAGGCAAAACAACAAAATATTGCAATATTAGTTTTATTTTGTTTTTTCAATATCGCACAGCCGTATTCTGCCAACACATGACTGGTGATAACCACATCAATCACAGGCAATCTGAAAGATCATGCAGGGTAATTACTCACAATTGCCTCAAACATTAAAATAATGTTTAACAGCTTTTGTCAATTTAACAAGAAACAAAAGGTACAAAAATTGTTAAAAATAAAAAGTACTCATTTACCCAAGCAGGTGAATGCATATGGTCATTGTGTAGTCCACAAAAATAACATAAATCACTGTAAATACACTTTTCTGAACATATAAGAGTTTAGACATAATTATACCATTAAAAAATGTCACCAGCATCACTGTAGTGCCTTTCTAATCCACAAAAGGCAATATATAGGAGTTAACACTTCTTTGGGCCATGTAAAAAAAATTCCCATGCCTTTTCAATGGTAACACCCCTTTATAGATAGTAAAAAAGTTTTCAAAAAATGTTGAGCCTATCTTTTAATTGTATTCTGTGCTGTATCTATAATTGTTGTTTATGCCCTTTCTGCAGATGAAAACTGTTGGAGACAATTATTAGATTAAAAAGACGTCATTGTATTGTTGTTTTGTTTTGTTTTTTTAATTCAGGAAACTTCCCTTGCTTACAGAAAATCTGTTCTCGTGTGTTTTCATATGCAGATAAGAGACAAATGTTTCCATTAACAGTCTATGCAATTTTTAAACATTACAAGCATCATCGGGACTTACCTAAAACAAGAGACACTAATTTTGCAGTGCTATTTTTCTCGACAAGGCTTATTTGAAAGACAATGCTTGTTTGAAAGAAACACGAGAAAACACGCACATCACGCACACATTAACAACAAAATAATTAATGAGTGCATGCAAAAATTACAATTTCAAAATATAATAAAAATGTTTAATGCAACCAACATTGGGCTTGTTAATACAGCAAAACCAACACGATTTTTGTTTATTTTATTTTTAAAACCAACACGAATTGATTCACTAGCGAAGGGAAAGCATGACGTCATTACTGAGAATTAGCGCATGCGCTGTGAAGGGGGGGAACAGGGGGAACTGAATTCTCCGGAACACCGGCAGGTGATGAGTCGATTGAATCCCTTACGATCACAATATGTGGTTTCTTTTTTTTAAAAGTTTGTTTGCCTATACATCTTGTTTTAAACAATTTGCAGTGTTTCCCTACAAATTACAACATGGGAGATCTATACATTTATTTTACGTCCATAGCCTACTGACCACTTTTTAAGCCATAGAATTTCAAACAGTATCTGTTTGATAAATAAATTTGTTACTCAAGTGTCATTCCTAAACTCATCGAGACTAAAACACTGGCAATGATATAGTAAGTTCCTGTTCATGTTAAAAAGGGTAACTATAAACTATAATGACAATTAATAATTAAAAAAACAATTACAGTAAAATCCACATTAACATGTTTATTATTAAAAATAATTGTAAAGTTATAATAATTGTTCCGAATTACAAAACAATAGAAAGCTACAGCTATAACCATCTATAATTAAATCAAATAAAAACACTAGAATTACATCTTGTTGTTGCGTGCATGCACTTTAGATGGTTTTGGAAAGGCACTTTCTATCCAAGACTAAAAAGGGCATGTGCACTGCACAGGTTGAGTCCTATATGTGCACGTGCCTGGCCCACTGTAAGCTTTGATTTGGTCCACCATTCCATCAGAGAGGAGAGTGACAATGATGAAGAGAGTTGGGGCAAATGCCTTTAACACAGAGATCATAATTTTTTTATTTAACGTAACCTTTTTTATGTAATCTCTTTTGTTTTATTGCTGAGCTACAAAAAAGCAAATTGAAATTAAATGCTTAAATAAAATGTAAATGAATCAGATTTTTAAAAATGTAAATAATGTCGTCATCTGTGAGAAAATTAAGGCAAAACTTGCGTAATTCTGCTATAAATGAGATTTTTGTGTTATTACTATAATAACTTCATTATACAATGTATAAAATACAATATTAGTTCATATAAAGATGTTTTGTAATCATTTTTACATATTAATATATAAATTAGGAAATTACTCTTGATAACTATATTTACATTCAGCCAACTAGCCTCAATCAAGTTTGGTTTTTGGCCTTTATAATAAAAAGTTTGGGCACGCCTGGTATAGATTGCCACACGGAATCTGCGCACGCAGAAATCTGCAAATTTGCGCAGCTATTTAGCCTATCATTGAGTCTATTTAGTTATCTGTCTAAATGCGTGCAAATTTATATTTGTTTTAAATTAATAAGTTTTTATATTAATTTCAGTAATATATTGATGAATATGAAAATGTTCATTTGATTTATTTACAATAGTTTGTGAAATAATATTTTACAAAAGTCTTTAGTAGATATATTATATGAGAGACTTGCTTAGTTTACCAAATAAGTGGATCTAATTGGACTTGTATTGTAAACATTAAAACAAAAGTAAAAAAATTATTATTGTTTTTATTAGAAAACTCCCAAAATTATTCAGCATAAATCTACAGATTTTTTACAAAATTCTGCGCAGAAATAGCAAAAGAGGTCTGCAGATTTTGTTTGGGCCTAATCATAGGTGAATGCTATACTATTTTTAAACTTTGACATTACATCAATGGACATTTTAATCTCCCTCTCCAACACTGTAAAAAGCAGTCACTTGTAAATTTGGACTTATATACGGGTTATAAAAAGGAAAAAAAAGTATTTCGTTATAGTCCTTGGTGTGAACAGACCTCATGGCCTTGAATAGGGCAGGGCGATATGGCAAAACTGCAGTCTCAATAAATATTTTCCATATTGAACGATAACAATATATATTTTGATATAAGTAGTTAATGCTTCCAAACTTAAAGAGCACCGCAACAATGACTGATGCCACAAAAATTAGAGGGTCCATTAAAGTGCATAATATTTTCAGCTGATACATTTTCAGTGGCCGAATATTTTGTACATCTCTAATATCAACACACTTTTAGATTCCCATTGTTGCATATTTCTGCTGTGTTATTGGGTCTTAGATCAATATAGAGTAAAAAAGTCCAGAGCTTATCATTGATACTGACATAAATTTTTATCACGATTCAATATAATACTATTTATCGGCCCTACTTCATTTATTCATTTTCTTTTTAGCTTAGTCCCTTTATTAATCTGGGTTCAGCACTGTGGAATGAATCGCCAACTTATCCAGGATATGTTCTACGCAGCAGATGTCCTTCCAGCCGCTGAGAATAATCCATACACTCTCATTCACTCACATACACTATGGACAACTTAGCCTTCCCAATTCACCTATAGTGCATGCATGTCTTTGGGCCCAGAGGAAACCCACGGCAAAACGAGAACATGCCAACTCCACTCAACCTTGCTGTGTGGTGATCGTGCCATCCACTGCGCCACCGTGCAGCCCCCCGAGCCCTACTTATGAATGATTAAAAACAGTAACAGCCAATGACAGCTCACCTGACATTAAAGGGACTGAACAAGTTACATTTAAATTAATTTACATAAAAAATTAGGACATTTCAGTTTTTCAAAGATATGTTACATTTAAATATACGCACATTTTCAGACTTCAGTAAACTAAAAAAAGAGTCAGTGGCAGAGAATGGAAGGTAACGAACGAGACTGATTCGTTCACTTAAAAGATTCGTTCACCCTAGGTACAACACACTGGGGAGACCATTCCTCGCATCAGGAGGGATCCCTGTCGCTGTACAGTATTCTCTTTAACCAAATGTGCCCAAATAGTAAACAAGTCAATCACTCCACAACCTGACTCGCGTTAACGCAAAACATACTGGCTCGCCTGCCTTAGTACTTTTAATAAAAACATTTAAGCGAGGAAGTCAAATGTGAACTCCCTTTCTCAATATAAAGTGGTTGCATCGTTTATGCACAAAAACGTCAACGAATTTGCTGTAAACGTAACATCTGAGCTGCGTTAAACTATTTGAAACGGCATACATCGGATGAAATTATCCTACTGTTTACCTGGCTTCTGTTATGTCTGTTTAAATCACACAAAGACACTGATCAGCTCTCATTATAAGCTCACGGAACTGCGAGGCAAAGTTTTGTTTAAATCGAATAGATATTTATATGAACACATTTCTTGTGAAACATGACGTTCAAAGGGTTCCTACCTGCATAACCAGCGTACAGCCATTGGTGAGCCTGTGTTTACAGATTCAGCACAACGCAATATTCTTTTACAGCCACAGGGCATACATGTCTAATGACATAAACCTGCTGGCCAACAAGAACGAGCGAAGAGTTTGATTGCGTTGGATGTTGGATGTCCAAAACTGAAGTTGGAAGAGAAATGGATGATTAATAAAAATGGGATTTAGAGCAATTATACATACACAGTAACATTCAAAAGTTTGGGGTTGATCATATATATTTTAAACGCATTTATTAAACGAACAGCAAAATAAAACAATAAAAAAAATTATTTTATTTGATCATTTATTCATTCATTCATTTTCTTTTCAACTTAGTCCCATTATTAATTTGGGGTCGCCACAGCCTAATGAACCGCCAACTTATCCATCATAGGTTTTACGCAGTGGGTGGACTTCCAACTACAACCCATCAAACATCCATACACACTCATTTACACATACACTACGGGCAATTTAGCTTACCCAGTTCACCTATACTGCATGCCTTTGGACTTATAGGGGAAACCGGAGCACCCGGAGGAAACCCACGCAAACACAGGGAGAGCATGCAAACTCCACACGGAAAAGCCAACTAACCCATCCGGGGCTTGAACCAGCGACCTTCTTGCTGGAAGTCGATTGTGCTAACCACTGTGCCACCATGCTGAACATTATTCAAATACATGCAATTTAGGATTGTTAACTTGCAGCAGCCATCTATATCACATAATTCTTCAGGAATCATTCTAATACGCCAACACAAAAAAATTTAATTAATTACAAAACGAACAAACTAAAAAAATTAATAAAAAAAATAAAACAATTATTCTTATTATTATCGTTAAAAAAATTGTTGAGTAATATCTGTAGAAATACTGCCAAAATTATTTAAACAGGGATGATTAGTGACATAAAATGCTCTTATCATTTTGAAACAGTTGACAATTATTTGAGTAGTTTTATGCAGTATTTTGCTTAAAAAAACCTGCTTGGACTGTTTGGAAATTGTGGCACCACGGTGGTGCGGTGGGTAGCACAATTGCCCCCCAGCAAGGTCACTGGTTCTAGCCCCGGCTGAGTCAGTTGGCATTTGTGTGTGCAGTTTGCATGTTCTCCCCATATTCACGTGGGTTTCCTCCAGGTGCTCCGGTTTCCTCACAGTTCAAAGACATGCAGTACAGGTGAATTGAACAAGGTAAATTGGCCATAGTGTACACTATGTGTGTAAATGCAGAAGTGTATGGGTGTTTCCCAGTGTTAGGTTGTGGCTGGAAGGGCATCTGATGCATAAAATATATGCTGGATTAGTTGGCGATTCATTCCGCTGTGGCGACCCCAGATTAATAAAGGGACTATAAACTGAAAAGAAAATGAACGACAAATCTGTTTGAGTTGAAACCTGTTTTGAGTAAAGCTATCTTCAGAATTTTAAACATATAATCAAACCCGTCCCACTTTAGACCACAATCTTAAACAAATAAATAAATTATGCTTGGAAATATTTGGGCATTTGTTGGTTCTATGGTAACGTTGAAACCCATGGAAATCCATGGAAAGTTTTGGTTGTTCAGTTTAATTTACTCAAACGTGGAGGAAGTAGTAAATTTCGCTCAAATGTTTTTAGTTTTATTAGAAAATGTCAAGTACTTCATATAAACTGTTTTTAGATTTTATTAGTTTTTTACCCTCAGAAAATAGTTGCATATCCTCTATTAGTACGAAGTGTTAAAACATTAGTGCTGTAAGAGACTTTTAATTTAAAAACATCCACCATGTTAAAAATGCACTGACATATCGGCGCTGTACAGATTAGGGACATCGCATTTATTATATTTGGTCAAGGTCGACGAGTTAATAATGAATGTAGAAACAGCTCGTTATTTAATATTTAGATCTTTGCGTCCGTGTTATACAAATACTAATTTCTCGTTGAGGAGCCCTTGTCGAGGTCATCGGGAAAGCACAAGCCAAGCACCAAAACATGCCAAACAAGCAGAGGTTTGTTGCTTATTACCTTGATATCACTCCCAATAATAATAATAATAATACTTTTATATATTTTAAGTAGGTCGGATTTCCATAGCAAAGTTAATCATTTGTTTCAAAGCAGCTTTACAACTCAGCACGTGAATGTTTTGTCTATGTCTACTGTGAATGTAAAATTTGATATTGTAGATTGAATTGTTTTAATACTTTGCTAATTTAACAGACTATCAATATACCAGAGGGTGATTGTTTTATTTATGTAAACATTTTATCAGACGTGTTATCAGATGTCCAAACAGACTATCAATATACCAGAGGCCCAGAGGGTGATTATTTTATTTATGTAAACTTTTTATCAGACGTGCTATCAGATGTCCAAACTTATTATATGTAAAATAGTTCATTGTACCAGATTGAATAGAATATTATTTGTATTTATTGTTATTATTGTGTGTGTGTGTGTGTGTGTGTGTGATTTCTTGGCATGTCAAATTGTTCTAATCTGCATGACTTTGTATGTAGAGGTCTGGATTCTGTCCTGCTGCCTCATCTAAATATGATTGGATTGGTCCACCAGACCGACTGTCAAACCTCAGGCTGATCATATATCACATCCCAGAGAATGAGACTCCTCTGGAGAGGGAGTTAAGGCATCTGAGACAGGAAACTGAGGACTGGAACCATGAGTTCTGGACCAACCAGAACTTCACATTTAATAAGGTATAAATCATATGTGTGCCATGCAAGGTTTAAACTACAGGAAGGACTAGGTTTGGTTGTAACTATTATGATCCTACACAACGTTTGTTTACCATTATCACCGTTAGAGGGCAGATTTGTGTCATAAATGTTTTATTTTTAGATGTTTGCTATGGAAGACCGCAGAGGTCATGCATTCAAATATTTTTATTTATGTATTATTTATTATCAGGGCTTGACATTAACACTTACTGAGAGTTTGATCAGTGGTGGACAGAGTACTGTAAAAGTCATACTCAAGTCAAAGCACCATTACTTGGCTAAAAATGTAGTGCAAGTAAAATTAAAGTACCTGTTGTAAATTTAACTTAAAGTAAGAGTAAAAAGCCCGTTTAAAAGTACTCAAGAGTAGTGAGTATTACGCTGGGAAAGGTTGATGCGTTTACATGTAATGCGTGTGTAAACGTAACATTCTGTAGTGCATTTATTTATTGTTTAAGGCCATTTCAGTCATCATACAGTCGACATCTGTCATCTTCCCATCAGTTACATGCAGTTTAAACTTTCTCTGGGTCATTGCGTGTAAAGTATCTTTTTGGACACTTTTAATGCTTCCAGTTTGCTGCACGTCTAAGGATTGTTCGGTATGATGCAATTTACTTTCTATGTGCGGTTTGATTAGAGTCGCAGGTTGATTATTCTAATCTCCATAGACCGGAAATAATAAAGTAGTGACTGCTGGTTGAAGGAAAATAGTGGAGTAATAGTACCCATACAGCACTAAAATGTACTCAAGAGAGGTAAAAGTACACATTTTAAAACTACTTAGTAAATTCGAGTTTCTGAGAAAACAACTCAATTGCAGTAATCTGAGTATTTGTAATTTGTTACTTTACACCACTAAGGATAATCACTCTTGGGTCAGTGCGTGCCAGGGCTTTCATTAGCCGCATTTCCACTATCGGGCCAGTGCGAGCCAGGGCTTTAATCGGGCCGGGGCGGGCCAATAGCCCGCGAGGTTGGGAAATGAGGCCGAAATCATGTTGCGTTTCCACTGACGGGCTAAAAGCTCACAGCGCGTCACGCAAACACCGCCCACAGAACGTCCCCGAATCAAACGTCACACAACCCGCCCACTTCAGATAAAGCACACAATAGAATTATCACGAAACGAAACCATTAAAATGAAGACAACCGAAACAAACAAATGACACGTTACTGTACAGCAGTACATGAAATGTCTATACGCACAGACCTGTGTATTTCCATTCATTACATTTGTTTACTCGCCGACCAACTGGCATTGTGCATCGACTGCTCTCGCCGAACGCAGGGACCCATCACAGAGAGCGCACACATCCATAATATAAAGCCACAGAAATTCTCCTTTATAGCTCGATATTGCATGTATTTTTATAACATCCTCGTTTTGATAGAAGTCGTGTTAAGTGTTTCAGCATAAGAGCGAGTAGCCTTAAAAAATATAGCCATATTTGTTGCGCTCGGCAGCTATTCACTAAAGCTCTTCATTTAAAGTTTCATTTATAAATTTAACCACGTCATATAAAAACATAAACAGTTGTTTGAGTTTATAGAACACATTTTGTGTTTGGACTTTCCCCCATATGCGTTTAAAGCAGCGAGTGCTGCGCAGGACTGGGTGACAGAAAAAAGGTATAGGCTAGATTCTGCTTTCACTCCCCCAAATAATGCTCTGTTTGCGCGATTTGATTAATATCATCGTATCCAAATACTTTATAAATAATATTTCAAACCTTCTCCGGTGTTAATTGTTTTTATAAAATATCGAAAATCTTTTTTTTTCAGACAGGTCTTTGTAAAATGAAAGTTATATATGTGGCTTTAAAACGGTTCGATTTATGTATTGTATATATGCTACCTACAAATAGCTAGCTTTTGTTTATTTTATATTGGTTTATTTATTTAATGTGATTTCATATTTATTTGTAATTCTTTAAATTATATTTCATTAAAGCTTAGGCTATTTTATCAAGATATGACACTATATTGTTTAAAGTCTACGAAAGTGGGCACGTACTTTGTTAAGTTTTCCTTCTGTTGTATTTATATTGTGTATTATCACCAAAATAAAGAAAGAAAAAGCCGCTCGCGGCATAACAGAGCTGTGAAGGAGCGCTTTAGCCCGGTCTCACACACACATACAGGCATCTAAACGCGCACAAACAAACATTTTAAATTTGACAAAAACTCTCGAAAACCTTTACTGTCTGCTGTGTCTTTAATATGGTGTAAAGATTATTATGCGTTATTGAAACATAAAGGAGGACGCAGCAAAAAACGTCACTATAAATTAAAACTACTTTATTATTTTATGCAGCAGCCTTACATTTAAAAGGGAAACATAAGGGTGATCATACGCAAAAAGACCCCAGACTATAAGGCTAGATGTTTTCTTTCCCTTATTTCTTTGGCGCATGTACTCATGTGCGATCAGAAAACTGCCCGCCTCTCCTTTCACTCCGCCCCGAAGCCCCAGCTGGCCCTCCTTGGCCCAAGGTATTCGGCGGGCCGAAAAAGGCCGGCCGCTGGCCCCAAGAAAGCCCCGCTTTGGCCCGATTAGGCCCCGGAAGTGACAGTGGAAACGCCACTGGCCTTGGCTCGCCCTGGCTCGCTCGCTTTAGGCGCGATAGTGGAAACGCGGCTAATGGGCCCGGTGGTGCCAATACAATGTATTTAAGCAGTAAGGCCAAAATCATGTCTCGTTTCCTCTGTGAGGCCAAGAGCTCGCATCACATCCCGCAATCAACGCCTTCAGAATGTCCCCGATTCAAACCTCATACAATCCACCCAGTTCAGTGGGTAGAAAAAAGTCAAATCAGAATTATGCAGATAAAGTGCACCATCGCATCATCACAAAATTATCTAAATAGAGGCAATGGTTGATCCGTGATCTGTATGGATCACAACTACTACACAAGCTGCACTATAAAACATTAAAAGATTGTGATCTCAATTCAAACCTGAATGATAAATGATAATGATTTGCATATGTTTATTAATCCTTTGAAGCACTGCATTTAAATCTGTGTTTAGCGAGAGAGAGTCAGTTTTTAGACTTTTTCAGTTAGTTAAAAACAGTTAAATGACACAGAAGTACTGGGATAACAGTTTATAGTTTAGATATATACACTGTTGTTTATGGTAAAGATTAAAATCACAGTTTGATGGGACTTGACCAATAAACTTGATGTTGGTGAATGTTATCACAATTACATTGTTTAACCCTCTTTTGCATGAGACTATAAACCGAGGTCCTGACTCTCTGTGGTCATTAAAAATCCCTTGACACTTCTCGAAATTGTAGGGTTATCTCCCCGGTGTCCTGGCTAAGTTGCCTCTCGGCCCTTAACCGTCATGGCCTCCCAATCCTCCTCATCCACTGAATTGGCTCTATCACTGTCTCTCCACTCCACCTATAGCTGTTGTGTGGTGAGCGCACTGGCTCTGTTGTCCTGCGGCTGCCGTTGCATCATCCAAGTGGATGCTGCACAATGGTGGTATTGAGGAGAGACTCTTCAAATGATTGTGAAGTGCATTGAGTGTATGGCTATACACGATAAATGCGATATATAAATGCACATTACATTACATTAACCAACAGAGGTGACAAAAAACCATCAAAATTATGTCACTGAATAGGTTTTCAAAAATGATCCACCTATAATAAAACATAAAGTTTTATATTTGAATTGTTGAATCATTTATTGAAAATAAATATGATATGTTGTACAAGATGTTAGATTTTTAGTTATGTTTGTTAAAACCAATGGTTTTTGCAAATGACATCAGTCTCCTCCTTTTTTTGCCTATCCAGAAAATGGTCAGATTCTTGACTCAAAAACCGTAGTGTGATCCCAACCGTGAGATTTTTGAACCGTTACACCACTAGAGAAAACAGAAGAAAACAAATGTTACTGTACAGCATTAAATCATATGTCTTTACACATAGGCCTATGTATTTTCATTCATTATATTTGTTTACTTGCCGACAGACTGTTGGCATTGTCCATCGAGTGGTCTCACCACTAACGAATGGGATGACCCAAGGCACCACTCATTATATAAATCCATGAATTTTTTTTTGTTAATAGCGTTTTATAAAACTTATTTTAAAACATCCTAATTTTAGTAGATGCTGTCAAACTTACCGACCAAACGCTCCGGAAAGCCTTAAAACATCAAAATTTTTTCCCTTGGCTAGGTTATGACACTTGATAAGTAAATTCCTATTTATTTAAGAAGATAATGTAAGGATGTTGCATATTATTCATTTATCTTAAAAAAGTGAAATCTTTAAGAGTGGGTTTGTCTTTAAAAAATAGGCCTTAGAGAAAGAGAATATCTCGTAACAGAGCAATGCATTCTAGTTGTTTAGAAAAAAGGAGGCTAATTCCCATTGATCTTTATTGATTTTTGTATCATATATACTCATCAACAATAAACTGTAAGTGCTCATACTACAAGTAATGAAGAAATATCTGTGTAAATGTTTTCTTGTGGTGGCTCATTGATTTCCAGTCAGTTACGGGTAAACACATTTTAAGGATAACTAATTTACTTGATCTGCACCCTTTGCATCTGTGCTCTGCTTTTCCAATTGCACTTTACTGCTTGACCAAGAACCTTATGAAATGCATATTATCAGCTACTTTGACACACAAAGAGTATTTATAAATCTATATACATGTTAGTCCATTTTATTCTGTGTGTTTGTGAGATGTTTTTTCAAAAGATATTACTATTCAGCTTTTTCTTTTGTGATTTCCATTGGTTTACATTAAGCGCTCCTGCATTTGTTCACAAACATGGCCGACCACAACTTGCCATTATGTAGATTCCCGAGCTCTGTAGGCTATATATTGATGTGCTCACATCACAGCTATCCACAATAAATGCATCCGTTTTAAGGGAAAAAGAGTACCATACATTTGGTAAAAGTAGTGTTAAATATTTCAGAACAGCATATTCCCAATTTCTGATTCTCCCCAGCAAAGCAAAATAATTACAGTTTAAATATTAAATTATAGTTCACTATCCTAATACATTTTTACATTTAAATGTTAATTTATTGAAATTTACCAAATCATATACAAACATAAACATTTGTTTGAGGACATAGGACATGTTTTATACAGTTTTTCCCCAATACATTGGGAGCAGTGCAGGACTGAATGACAGAAAAAAAGGTAGTTGTTGATGGTTTCACTCTTTTATTAGTAATAACAATAATTCCTTTTTGAGAACGCGACTGCAGCCATTTTGCGCCAGACCGCACGCCACACACCAGCTGATTGGTGGAGAGGAGACAGAGTGATGATATGCCAATTATGGTTTTTAGGCTCGTCTTGTATGGAATTACCAAAGAATGCTGCGTTGACACAATTTGATTAGTCGTATTAGCCGAATACTTTATACATTATATTTTGAAACTTCTCAGTTGTTTGTGGCCTAAAACGTTATAAAATTTGTTTTGTTTTATATTGGGTATTTATATAATTATTTTATTTATATCCGATTTTGCTATTTCTTTTATTGCTTTATTTATTAGCCTGGCTAGCTATTTTATCTAGATCTAATATGAAACTATTGTGTTGAGCCCACAACAGATAATACGTAATTTGTAAAGTTTTATGTCGTTCTGTTTTATTAATATTTTGTATTATAAAAAAAAAGAATAAATAAAATAAACCCAGCCACTCGCATGGGATCTGTAACTGAGCTGAGAAGTGAGTGCTTTAGCCCAGTTTCTCACATACATGCATCTTAATGCGAATGTTTCATGCACAAACACCTCTTTTAAACTTGACAAAAACTATTGACAACCGAAAGTTACTGTCTTCAATGTATATTAGAGACCTGCCGTCTGGGCCTGAAAGAAAGATCATTAAGCACCTGAATCAACTGAGCAGAACATTAGAAGAGACTCCAAAATCTAAAATCATTGGGTTAGATAAGGGAGACATCCAAAATATGTACTGTTGGTGAGCCTCCAGGAATAGAGTTGGGAAACACTGTCATAGATACTGTAGCAACTCACAATTTAATAACTACATGTAATGTAAAAGTTGTGCACAATGTAAAAATGATTACATCATAGTTGTAATGTTCATTGCATAACATTTTTTTCAAAATTAATAAAATATTGATCTCGTATTATAATAACAATTATTAAAATTCTGCTAGCGTCTGCGGAAAAAAAAGTGATTGACAGGTGGTAACTTGTAACCTTTATGGTTTGGTTATGGGTAAAGCAAAGACCATGTGAGTCCGGTAGTGAAAATGGTAGGCTACAATTAATTAATTCGTTATGAATTAATTAATATTAAACAACGACCCCCACCCCCTCGCCTACGACGACGATGCCATCATCCATCACGATGTTTCACATTAGATATCGTACGATGCCAAATTGGTCAACATCGCCCAACCCTAGCTTCTACCCATGTTAGGATTGTTAAGGTTCAGTGAATTTTATGTTGTAATCAATTAGCATCAAGTGACTACAGGTTTTAATCCACACAACAGAGAGGGTGCCCAAACTTTTGCATAGCTTATTTTCCTGCCCCAATTTTAATTCCTGCTTTAATTTCACACATCTTAATACTGTTAAACTAATTATTTCTGTCTGAAAAACATTACATTATCTAGCTTTCTCTAGAAACCCAATGGCATTTCACTGTGATCTCTTATAAAGAAAGAGCACATAAGTATGCAGTCAAAGAGTTACTGTATGTGCTCTTTCTTTATAAGACAGATATTCAATGTGTGTGTGTGTGTGTGTGTGTGTGTGTGTGTAAACACACATTATCATTATTGCAAAACAAGCTAATTTTTCATATATAACCCTACAATTTGATTGTGAAAATGTGTCATTACATTTAAGATTTGAATAAATTCTAAGGAAAACTGTTTATAACAAATATGATGTAGTACTTATTGCATTGTTCAGTTTTTTTACATTACATGCAGTTATTACAATCAGTTGCTACTACAGACAATTTGAGTTTTGGGGGGCTTTTTAATACTATATTGACCCATTCATGTTTATTATTCTTTCAGGAAAAAGAAGAATACATACAATCACAGCTGTCAGCAAAAGGGTTGTCAGAGAGAGATGATGATGGTGAGCTGTCTAAACATGAACACAAACTGCAGTGTATTACATTTTTCAAGTTTTCAAAGAAAAATATTGTTGCTTCATGACAGCCTTGCTAAATTATATGTGGTTATAAACTGTATGGTGTCATTTATTGTTTCTCCAGGAAGGAAAAGGACTTTAAGCAGTGAGGAAATGGCAGTGTTCTACAAACACTTCTTGGACAAAAACATTACAAGGCATGCCAATTACAACAGGTGGGATTTAAAACCTTTTTATTTTTATTTTAGTTTAGACGTTTTTGTTATAAAAATACTATATATTTTTATCTCAAAGTCAGCTTTTGCAATAGAAAATAGATAGAAAAAAACAGAACAAAGCATTGCTTATTTCATTTCTAAGTCTATCAGTATTCAGCTACACAAATTGAAAAAGCAAATGTAAATTAAATGTAAATTCATTTTTCTATGTCCACAAAAGACTGTCTCAGATGTTGTAATTTGTCTAAATATGTGTTGGTGTGCAATTTTCTTTTGGCAAGATAATCTATCCACCTCACAGCTATTGCATATTAAGATGTTGATTAGACCAGGGGTTTTTTAACCTTTTAGGTTAGTTAATTTCACTCACATCATTCTCATTTTACTTTCTGCTTTTTAAGTGCATAGCATTAAATACATTTAAACATAAATATATAGCATACCTATATAGCTAAGCGGTGTGATGGCTGAGCCTGTTTCTGTGAGAACAACATAGTTGGATTCCTGACATGACTAACCATAAATCATTTTCCACTGTTAATAAGTGTGAGCCATAGCATACTTGCTTTTGATGTACATACATGCAGAAAATGCTGCTTCACAAAGCCAAGTTCGCTGAGCCCTGACAGTGTAGTTGAGTCGAACATAGAGTACGTACAGTACACATGGGTCACTAATATTTTAATAGATTTTAATATAATTGGTACAATACTTTGATTAAGAGTCTACCATGTAAACAGCGTTTTTTTTTTTTTTTTTTTTTTTTTTTTTAAATACCTTAATCCCATTATACTCATAACTGAACTAAACAGAAATGGAATTTAGTATGCATATATTAGTGGCACTTTTAAAGTAAACATTGAAATCAAAGTATTACAGTCATGTAGGACTTTTCAACATATTTTCCGAAAGGATCCACACACGTGGCTGTCAGTAAAGGGCCGCAGACACACACATCACGAAATGCGGATTTTTTTTTTCTTTCCATTAGGTGATATTAAATTCCATTAAAACACCACTCTTCCACAAGTACTTGCTACTTATTTCCATTCAATACCCCAGTTGGTTATGGGGGCATGAATGAAATGTTCATGAGTGAAAGTTAAACTGCCGAAAGGCACCCAAAGTTACATGAAACTCTGCAGGAAATGTGGATAGCCTTGGCATGCAACATTCGAAAGCACTTCACGTAAACAACTTAATTGTATTATTGTCTATTAAGGCAAATAACTAGATTACTGATGTCCATGTAAACATAGTCCGTAGTGTCTTCAAAGTACATGAAAGATTCAGATGGGCATCCTGATTTGAAGGGCACTTTTTTGTCGGTTTTACTTTCATTCACTGTCATTTATTTTAAAAAGCACCTGGTCCATTTTATTAGTGTATATTTTACTTGAACGCATTAACTTTACAGATGCCTGATAGTTAGATGTGGAGGAGCTAACATTAATCAGATTCACTCTAGTGAACACGCAAAAATCCTCATCATAATTTACTTAATTACCTCATCATTAATTTACCCCCACAGTTTGAAAACTTCTGGATTAGACAGCATGTTCATTGCACAGGTGTGCCTTAGGCTGTCTACAACAAAGGTCCATTGTAAAATGAGACCATTTATTATGCTGGATATTCGGAGTAACAGGAACACGCTATCAAATATGTCGATCCAGAGCATCCCAAACATTTGTAACATGTAACATGAGTAATATGTTCAGTAAGTATACTGGCCATGCAAGAACTGGTATGTTTTCAGCTTCCATGAATACCACAGCAAAAGATCTTAGGATCTAGTTGGGTTGGGGTATCTCTGTGCATTCATGCAGCTCTGTTTATTGTGTATAAACATAAACATATACCATAACCCTACCACCAAAATTGGCCACTCGATTCACAGTGGTAACATCAAGAAACCACTCACCCACATGATGCGATACACACTGTCTGCCATCAGCCCTGTACAGTGAAATACGGGATTCATCTGTGAAGAGAACACCTCTCCAAAGTGCCAGTTGTCATCGAATGTGGGCATTTGCCTACTTAAGTTAGTTTCAATAGCTATTTTTCCATCAAAAGATACAAATTAAATCTATGCCAAAACTGGAATATTGTAATAAAAGAGTTGCGAAGAAATCACCATTTCAAACCAGTGAGTCTAAGTGAACAAAAATATTTAACTGGCACCAAATATCAAATATAACAGAATTTGCTGTGGTAGGAGAAGCTACATGAATCCATTTTTTATTTAAAAAATTACTTGCGCCGACACGCTATGAACACGATGGTGTTTGAAGTTGTGTGACACGTCACACAGATGCTATTGACAATTCTGGAGGTAACTAATAATATGATAACATTAATACTGAAATGGTTAAGCTGTTCTAGGATTACCAAAACAACATTTCTGATGTTTTACAGTGTACTCAGCCTGCTGGTTTGTCCATTCACACACATTTTTATCATCACATGATCTCTTATAACAAAATCACATGAATTTTTTTTAATATGCATACTGGAATTTGTTCGCTAAAAGTGTTTCTATCGTAGTTTATGCACTTTTTTTCTCATTGAATAAAATGTTTATCCTGCTCAGTTATGCACATATGTTTTTTTGCACGTACCAAAGTGTGCATAAAAATAGGTGGATGGAAACATAGCTACTGACAAACTGCAGTCAGGTCCAAACCCAGATGAGGACATAAGCATGCAGATGAGGTTCCCTTAGACATATTTTTTTTTTGTTATGCAAACCTATTGTTGCAGCAGCTGTGCAGGGGTCCATTCTTCGTACCTCGCTTAAATGATCTAAGATGATTTGGCAGATCCTGGATCTTTTAATCTTGATAACTGATCTCTCGCTAATTTGGTTCTTCAAACAAGTTCGCGAATCAGATTAGAATGTCTAGATGAACTGATTTGAGATCGCTGCGTGTGTTGTGAAGGACAGATCTATCGATCCTCGAAATCATGATCAGCAGTGCAACGATTGGCTGACGGCACAGCAGCGTGATGACATCATCTGATAAATATTCAATTATCCATGTGAGCAAAATTACATCAAATTAGCAGTAAACGGCTTGTTAAATATGATACGCAATAACCTTCCACATTTGTTGTGAGCTGCAGGCTTTACTCTTTCATGTGTCAAGAGTATTCATCATGTATTTCAATGCATATCAGTGTATTTAGTTCTACATTTAGAAAATATTTTCTTTATTATAATAGCCATTTTTTAAATCGCTGTATGGAATAACTGGATGTTTTCAAAAGCATTTTGATATTGGTAAAGGCGTCTGCAACTTTTGTTAAGCATAATCACTGGCATATTAACTGTCAAAACATGTTTATGACTGCATTTATGTATAATTTATTTATTTTAAAAGTCACACATTGTGCATTTGTATTATACACAAATTGTACTAAAGCGATCTAAAAAGTTCATATGTTTTCTCTTTGCACCAGCAGGTGGCAGTCTTTGTACTTTCATTTCGAGAGTGCAGATTGCATAAGTTTTATTAATATGTTTAACGTTATTTATTTTATTAATAACTATAACTTTATTTATATATATATATATATATATATATATATATATATATATATATATATATATATAAAATAGTTACTATTTTCCCAAGTGTATATAACTACTATTGTAAGAAAATATCAGAGTTCGGTACATACTTTCTCTATTATCTTTGCTTGAACTGAGCCGATCTAATCCTGTTTATATAAACTGAACCTGCTCCCGATCAGGTTTAAGCTAGCAGAACTGTTGCTATGACAACAACTCTCGGATCAGCTTTGAAGAACGGAACGATCCTGGATCGTGTCAAATCGTCAATATACAAATCTAGCTAACTGAGTAATCCACGTACGAAGAACGGACCCCTGGTTGCTGGTCTCAGACAATCTAGGAGTAAAATGCTGATTGTGGAGGTCCTGGGCTAGTGTAATTACATGTGGTCTGTTTATTTCAATTTAATTTACTTTATTTCTATAGCGCTTTTACAATGTAGAATGTGTTAAAGCAGCTTTACATAGAAGATTATAGGAAATTGAAACGGTGTAATTTCAGTTTTCAGAGTTTAACAGTTTAGCTCAGTTCAGTGTGGTTTAATATTCACTGCTGAGAGTCCAAACACTGAAGAGCAAATCCATCAATGCGCAGCTCTACAGGTCCCGAACCATGCAAGCCAGTGGCGACAGCGGCGAGGAAAAAACTTGAAGTGAAGAATTAAAAAAACTTAGAGAGAAACAAGGCTCAGTTGGGCACGACCATTTCTCCTATGGCCAAACGTCTTGTGCAGAGCTTCAGTCTAGGCACTGGAGGCTGGAAAAGCTGGACGTCGGCGAGACTCGTCTATCCCTGGAGCATCACAGGAATCAGTCTCATGCTCTCCACTCCTCCATGACCACCACAGCGGCTGCTCAAGATACGGACTGGTCCAGGAATATGGGATCCTTGGGATCCTCTCGTAACGGGTCTTGGATCACATCAGTGGCACTGCATTTCTGAAAGCCTTGGGATGAGTATCCTTAGGTGGAAATAGAGAATAAAGAGAATGATAGGCGTAGCTGCTGTTCATAGTGTACATAAACGAGATGCAAACAACCTGCGTGAGAACATTCATGCATCATTGGTTTTTTTAATAGGATAATTTCAGTATCAATAATGGCACATTAGACTTTTATCTATCAATTGTTTTGTACTGTATGTTTTGCCTCCACAATAAAACCTACAGAGCTTTGAACATAAAATAATATATTTAAATACCATTACTTATTTTTGGGAAATATAGTATAATAACTGATACTTTTTAAATGGACAGATCACACAAAATAAAAATTCTATCATAATAGTCGAATTGGCTTCCTCCATAGGTCTCGCACCAAATTGTTGCCTCTTTCAGCCAGTTGAGAACCGAAACCCAAGATTTTTTTTATTCTTTCTTTTCTCTGTTTCTCCTTTTTTCCCATCTCACCCCATCTATTCTTCCTCAGGTCTTGTAGGTGCTGTGTTATTCATTTCTAACCCTTTTGCATTTCAGGGAATGGTATCGAAGGAACTTCACCATTACACTTCTGATGGCGAGAGTAACACTGCACAACACATGGAGGACACTTACTGGACAGACAAGGAGAACTGAACGAGAGAAAGGCAAAACTACATGAAATGCAAAAAAAAGACTTTGAATTAATCACTGCATTCTGTGTTGTTGTCTCTTTGTGGAAACCAAAGTAGGCTTACTGACGTTTAGACCAAGGATGACTAGTTAAAAGATGCTTGACTGGGCATATACGGGTAAATTGCATTTCATCAGGATACATTTTCCATTTTTAATAACAATTTTTGTAATGTGGGCCTGACAGGTTTTAAACCTAATAATCAACCTATTCCACTTATAATTAGCCTGTTGGCTGTGAAATTGGAAACGCACTACTTATCAGCCTTATCCATCTGTCTTATCTAATGTAAAAATAAAAAGGTCCTTTAGTCACCCTGATGGCTTTTCTAAACTGTATGACTTTCTTTTGTAAAATAGAAAAGTAGGAGTGATCGTCGGAAGAAAAATTTTGAGCAAGGTCCTCACAGTGCATTATTGTTGTACATAAATACAGTTTCAGATATAAGCAATGGGTATGGTTACAGAACCATTTTTTAACTTACTATAGAAAAACTTTCTAGGATTTTTTGCTGTTTATTTACACTTTTTATTTTAATGAGTGGTTCTGTATAATATGGAAAATAAAGCTAAGAATTGAAAATAAACATAAAGCAGAGTTCATACACATTTTTACTACAAAGATTTCATGACTTTTCCAGAACTTTCAAGTAAATTTTCATGACGTAATGTTTCATGAAATGTCTATGTATACATGTTAAATAACAAGAAAAACACTGTATGTGCAGATATATTACAGCATATCATAGATCGCAACAATCCATTTTGTATAAATTTGTTTTTATATTTATGTAAAATTGATTTTGATAATGTTTAAACCACTAATAATGTGAAACAATGTTTTTGGCAAAGGACAGAAAAGAAGTAAAGACAACCCACCTATATTTAAGGGACACCATTTATCGTTTTCAGCATCGATATCGCAATGTGTGCATTTGCAGTAGTCACATTGCAGAATATGCAATGTTAAATTGGGATTATAGTTTAATATAGAGTTTAATCATAATGGATTAAAAGTTTATCATCTGCATTTATTTTTAAATAAAATCACTCAAAAATTCCTTACCATGCACTTAACTTTTTTAAAATAGAACACAAAAAGAAGACAATTAAATAACTCCCATACTATTGAAACAAGTGAAGGGTGACTAAATAGTGAGTACATTTTAATCTTTGAGTAAACTGTCCCTCCAAGGCCTGTGACTGTGAACATTTCAATATTTCAAATTTTAAAACATTAGGCCACAAGAATATTTTTGTAACTTTAATAAAGATTAAATAACATACAATAAAGAATATGCAGTGTTGATTATTCAATATCTGTGCCAGAATAGTGAATACCTGAAAACTAAAAATTTGTGATTTATTTGTTATATACTATTCGAGATTCACTCCCCTACAAAATGTCCCTAATCAATCCAAATCAATCTGTTAAATCATATGGTGAAATTGTATTCACATCGCAATATACATCACAAAAGTCCAAAATATGGTGATGTCAGATTTTTTCAATATCGTGCAGCACTAATTAATAAATACATATATTTGTTAAACTATTTTCCATGACTTTACTAAAACTTTGTGGGTTTTTCTGTTTTTCAAAACTTTTCCAGGCCTGGAAAATGCCATGTCAAAATTCCATTCTTTGAGTTGCAATTATTTTCATAGAATGCTAACAATTAAAACAAAACGATTTGGGTGATGCTTTGGATGCACTTTGAACTGTAGCTGCATCATCAACCTTGGGGGTGCAATATTTTAATAATTCAACAGCCCATAATTGGTTACATATTATTCATAACATATACATTATGTTTGGAATCTGATGACATAATCACCGGTCGATTAAATATAATCAGTTACTATTCAACACAATGCAATCTGTTTACAAATGCTAAATATTTGGAATCTGATTACGCAATCTAGAGTAGATTTCATGTAATCAGTTACTTAATTGTTTTTGATTTATAAAATGCTTATAACGATTTTTTATGCAGCAAACAACAATTTGAATAACCTCAGATTTCCTCCCAAAATCTTCGAGACCAAATATCCAAGAAATATTGAACTCCTTTCATCCTTGGATGACATCATAATGAGGAGGAGTGAACCTGCCGGGAGAAACACAACGCCATTTTCACCTCGCACAGCTCTAGTCAGATGCGTCTGTGCATTCAGTTGTTATTGCATACACAACCGTGCCACATTATGACGACGTGAATATTAACGTAATGTTTCTGCGCCACTCAGTGATTTGAGTCCGTGCTGGTGGAATCGGACTGTGAATCAGCTGCAGGAACTTTCCCTGTCGATCTCCGGAAGACTGGAGAGAGACGTAACCAACCCGGCTGCCTGATTTTAGCCCCAAACCATACAAATCAGCCTGCTGAGCTAGATATCGACTTGAGTTTCGTGGTGGGACACAGAAGAGCAATCCCTGTTACGGTTGTGGGGGATCTGGATCTTCCGCAGAACGGTAAGGTGTTTATCATGCTAACTAGCTAATGTTAACTCACGCGCTGAGATCCGAGGATCGCTGGGAGTGTCAGTCTGTGTCCGTCTACCTGACACATTTAAACGACTCCGAGGTCGCTGTCTGTTTAGTTGACCTGGTAAATCGGTTAAATGGATGCTTTGGTGTTTGATGGTGAGAATTGGTGGTTGTGGTATTAAGTAACCGTGTGCAAGGAATGGCATAAGCCCTACCGGGCCATGTCATGCAGTAGATGAGTGTTGCAACAGATCTCTTTTCTATGATACAACATTAAAGCATTCATGGGTAGATTTGTATTAAATTAGCAATAGATGGGTGCTGCAAAGTCATTGTTAGTCAACGCGAAAGAGATCCGACCACGACACAAGCCTAAAGCAATGGTGCTCACTCCTGGATATGTAGAACAGCAACATTGCATATTTAAGACGTCTTTGATGTTGAAAGTTGTGGTGATAGGGTATTTCAGGATTAAGGAGCACTTCCCTAAATCATACAGAAGATCACTGGTAAATAACGTAACGTAACGGCTTTTTAAGAGCATAATGCACAACAGTATTATGTTTATTTGATGCATATAAAAAGTCCTAATTTTGCATTAAATGTTTTATGCAAATATACATTTTTGAAAATGTATGCTTCAGGTTTGGTTTCTGTGATTTTGTTGTTTATGTATAAGAAACATTGTACACATGTTGTAAGAAAATCATTTAATTGAGCGTTAATTGATTCTGCCAAAATAAAAAAACAAAAAATTATTTGATTGCTGTAATAATAGTGTTATTTGTGCGTAATAAAGTGATTTCTGATATATATATCTATTTTATTTTAATTGTTTCAGCTTATTTTATATTATATTTTATATATTATATATATTATATATTTTATATCTTTTTTGTGTTTGTAATAATATGCAAAAGGTACACAAATTGAGATTGCATCCAAATAAAAGAAAAACAGAAAAACAACAAAAAAACAACACAACAGCCAGGTACTGGCAGGTGTGTGTGTGTGTGTGTGCGTGTAAAGGTCACTGGGTGAACAGGTCAGAGTACATAAATAAGAGGAGAAAAAAGAAATACATATACACACAACATGCAAAACAGTAGAACATTATTAGGCCACACGTCAATAAACGAAGCGAATAACAGATATAACTAAAACAGACAGAAACCAATCAGTGGTATGGAGTGATGACAATAATAATAATGTATTGATAGATATAACGAAGAAAAGGACAACAGGAATAACGATAATAATATTAATAATAATTACAATAATAATTACAAGTACTACATCAACTACTACTCCAGCAATTACTAGTACTACTACTGCTGCTACTACAGCTATTACTACTACTACTACTACTCCTACTACTACTACTCTTACTTCTTCAACAACCCCGACTACTACTATAACAACAACAACCACAACAAAAAAATCCTATAATGATGATAATGAGGAGATAATAGGAGAAGTAAAAGTTACAACATATTACAACATAATAATGATGAAAACAAAAGTAAGCAATAATATTAGTGATAAAAATTATACTCATGAGGTGAGGGGAGGTTGGGAAACCAGGAAGAGGAGAAATTATTATTATTATTATTATTATTATTACTACTACTAATACTACAAGTAGAAGAAGATAATAGAAGAAATAGAAGAGGAAGAATAAAGTGAAGAAAAAGAAGTAAAAGTTGAAGAAGGTGCAGAAGATGAAGCAATATGAAGAATTACTAGGAAAAAACAATGTTACAATAATAATGAATTATTATTATTAATAATAATAATAAGATTGAAAGATCAAGAGGATGTACAGATAAATGTGATAACTAATATACTCATGTTGAAAATAAAAACAATAATATTAATAATAATAATAATAATAGTAATAATAAAATCAGTGACAACATTAATAATAATAGTTTTGAGGAGGTGTAAGTTATAAGATCAGCCTTGAAGTGTACAATGATTGTCAGTTGCTTTATGATGCATTAAAAAAGTATGACGTGCAGCATAGATCAGTCCAGTGCAATGCCCAGGCTGCCATGTCCATGTCACACTTATACTGTGAATGTAGTATATAGAAGTATTTTTTTTTGTGTGCATCCTTTTTATTTAAATAATTGTTATTTAATTTGTTGTTAGACTGGCCAGGAGTAGAACTGGTGAAATCAGGCCCAACTTCACATGCACCTCTATCTCTAATACAAGCTGTACATTTACAGATGTCACAATGAACTGAGGTGAAGAGAAAAAATAAAATAAATAAATTTGAGAGAGGGGTGACACGGTGGCGCAGTAGGTAGTGCTGTCGTCTCACAGCAAGATGGTCGCTGGTTCGAGCCCTGGCTGGGTCAGTTGGCATTTCTGTGTGGAGTTTGCATGTTCTCCCTGCATTGATGAGGGTTTTCTATGAGTGCTCCGGTTTCCCCCACAAGTACAAAGACGTGTGGTACAGGTAAATTGGGTAAGGTAAAATTGTCCTTAGTGTATGTGTGTGAATGAGAGTGTATGTGTTCCCCAGAGATGGGTTGCAGCTGGAAGGGCATCCGCTGCGTAAAACATATGCTGAATAAGTTAACGGTTTGTTTACCTGTGGCGACCCCAGATTAATAAAGGGACTAAGCTGAAAAGAAAATGAATGAATGAATGAATTTGAGAGAGACAGAATTATGATGTGAGAAATCAATAATAAAAATACTAAATAATTTTTTTCTTTACATATTTTAGGATATTTAATTAGATTTAAAATTAGACACAGTTTCTAACTCTTTCTGACCCTCTTGCACCTTTTTCTTTTAATTAATATCAAATTTGGTGATGTAACGCTCAACTGCCAGTGGAGTGATGACGCATTGGTGTCTCATTATTATTCACTGCCTGAGATTTATTATCCTATGAGAAAACCCTACTTCTTAATTATTCACTACAGCACGTGCTTTTCAATAACACCCTGCCAAGCTCAGACACTGCACATGGCACACAATAGTTAAAATCTGTTATTTTACTTAAAAAAAAAAAAAAACGGAAAATAACGGCTTTTAAATAACAAATTTACTGTAAAATAAAAGACGTTAAATTACAGAAACTTTCTGTAGAATTGAATTACAGTAAATTTATGCTATTTATTGGCAGTTATTTTATGTATTTTTTACACCGGCTGCTGGAAAACCCCCCATAAAATAACAGATTTTTTTGTTTACAGTGTGGTTAGTTGACCATTGCCTACCGATACAGCCGAGCATTTAAAGAGTTATGAAACCCCCCTCTTTCAGTTTAAGTCTACCTCAGAATTTTTTCAAAAAATGCTTAATGATGGGCGTGGAGCACTGTGAGCAGAGGGAGGAGTAGGCATGGCCGGCAGAACAAGGGAAAAAGAGAACGGCAAACAACTGTCAGTTGGCACATAAAATCAGACAAAAAAAGAAAAACAAACACAATTCGTGAGGAGACCAATGGTTTTATAGTTTACGAAGTTGAAATGTAAAGAAAGGAACGGTAAGTATTTTAATGCTCTGCTATATATATGATAGATTATTCGTTATTTCAACATTAGTTGTATCTATATAAACATGGTTCTCTTAGTGATGTAAAAAATGTGGTCATGTATATATTTGTAATATTTTCTATGTAATCAGTCTGGTGAGTCAGTTGACAGTTGCTCCCATCTTGTTACCCTTGCTTTGCCATCCATGCCCACTTCCCTCACTTCTGTGGCAGCTCCCTGCCTATTTTTATTTATTTTTTAATTCTAAGGTAGACTTGAGCTGAAAGAGCTCAACAACATATAGCCCAAATATTTACTACTAATAATAATAAAAAAAAGAGTCATCCGTTCTGAGCACCAGTGCTTGATCTTGCTGCATGACATGAATCTTTTTTTGGTTAGTATGCAGGTGGCTTGCTCTGCTCTGTTGACATACAGTCAGTCTTTCCTCAGTGAAAGCATTTGTGTTGGTTTTGAAGGAGATGCAGTCTCTGAATGTGGGCAGCTGTGAGCTCTGGCTTTACTGCAGTAAGAAGGTGGCTGCTTCTCCTCTGGGGAATCAATGGGACAGTTATAAAATTGGCTCCACATAGGAACACAAGTATAATTTATAGTCACTCTAATAATCGTGTTGCAGAAAAGTGCCTGCGCTATGCTTGTATGCTTGGCACGTTCATTTATGCACACAACAGTTTTTTAACTGTTGTGGGTGAATTGTAATGCCAATGTATAATCCTACAAAATGCATTAATATATTTACACATATAATCATTATAAACATGGTGGCTCAGGAGTTAGCACTGTTGCCTTGCAGCAAAAGGTCGCTGGTTCGAATCCTGGCTTTGCCAGTTGGCATTTCTGTTTGGAGTTTGCATGTTCTCCCCGTGTTCTTGTGGGTTTCCTCTGGGTGATCTGGTTTTCCCCACAGTCCAAAGTAGGGCTGCACGATTTTGGATAAATCAAAAATTGCATAATTGGATAAACTCTCCCACAATTTTACAAAAAACTGTTTGAGCCCAACACCCAACGCAATAAGGAGTAAGATGTGTTTTATGACGTGTTGCTATTTTCAGGCAATAATTTTCCATGTTGTTTAAATAGCAAATCCGTTTTGTGCCACTTTGTAGACTCATGGTTGTATCGATCTAAGAGACGGGTTAAGGCGCATTCCTATTTTTAGGAACTTAAATAGACTGTTCAATTGACCAGCTGAGAGGAGGTCTAAAGTCCAGCGCAGAGTGCGTTAGTTCTCCAATTTTGTCATTTAATACAAACAGTCAGAAATATAAACTGTACCTTTAAACAACTCGAGCATTTAGCAAATAATATAAACAATATATATCCAGCTCACTTTCTGATCCTTGTCTAGTTCTCTTACACCTCTTTGATTGGTCACACCCTCAACAAAAACAATTGCGATTGGCTCTTGTGCGCTGCGCTCCTGACAGATGAGTGATACTGATAAGCGGCAGGCGGCAGCGGCGATCAC